AAGGAAAATATTTTAAAAAGAGTTGTTAAAATGTAAATATTTTCTGTGTTTGTAATCAGAAACATTTGGATTGAGTCCTACCTGCTAAGATTTTCCTAGCATCCAGATATTTTCAGTTTATGTAACTCGTAAAACTACTAAGGCTTTCATTTTTAGATTGCAAAAGAATATTTTGTAGTTATCACATTTTAAAGTAAGCATTCAAAGTCACATAAGTATTTCTTGTTAAATAAACTTCTGAAGCTCAGTCTAGAATAAATGAAAGGCTCCAAATAGCCTTTCATTTTTAAAGATTTTTAAAAGATTTTCATTTGGGGCCAGTAGATGGTGTAGTAGTTAAGGCACTAGACTCCCACATGGTCAACCACAGTTTGAGTCCCAGACCTGGCAGCTTGAAACTCAGGCCAGGTGTTTGTGCACATGCATCCAAAATCCCAAGAGAAGAATGGAGGAGAAGAGACTGTAGCTTGACGATCTTCCATGGAGGGTGATTTCTTGCATTCTGTCTCTCTGATGAGTGACACATCCTATAGCAAAACTCTCTCTCAAAAACAAAAAAGCTTTTCATTTAAAAATTTCATTGTAAACTGAGTGGTTGTCTATAAACTTCATCCTCCAAAAGTTTGATGCACAGTTGAGATTTTTCTCCTTATGGAGTCATTATATAATACATATACATTATTTATATGATGATTGCAGTAAAAATGTACAGCTGAAATTTTCAGTTCAACCTCTCCCCCAAAAAAAGTACATTGATCAAAGATAATTAAGACTTTCAGACATGATGTAGAAATTTGTTTCCAGCACATTTTAAAAGTTACTTATTTAATTTTATTTATTAGTAGTATTTTTATTTGCCATAGGGCACACACACTCACCAGAAAGAGGTCAAGGACTTGAACTATGGTTGCCCATGTAGGAGTGTCATTATGCCAAATATTGTCAGTTTGCCACAGTCCTCTCCATATTTTTTTCTCATGCATTTCATCTCCACTATTTTCCACTTCTTTTTTTTTATCATCATAATCTTCTTTATATTACATTGGATTACATATAACTTTACAGTGTATTACATTGTTTTTTCAAAAGGGAATGCCATGCATGTCAGTCAGTACAGAGACATTAATCTCCCCACTTCAACATTCCATATCTTTTCTGTTTTCCCCAATCATTATTTTTATTATTCTAATTATTTTTATAAAACAGTCAATTGCTATTTCTCATTTTGCTTGTAAAAATACTTTGCCCATCATGAAATACTTCTCAGACCAATCCAGTTGAGAATACTATACATGTCATCATCAACAGTTAATAAGCCTATCTGTTTCTCACTAACGTCCTGTCTCTCTATTGTTCACTTGCTATCTTTCTCTATCCTCTTCTCTTCACTTACCCCATTCCACACTGTCCTATTCTCATTAAGTACCTTCACTGTGTTTATGTCCTCCGAATTTTTGCTCTCTATTATAGAGCCAGCACATTTTTTAAAAGGCTAATTTTTTTTCCTCCACTGTACAAGTACCTATTCTTATCCTAAAAAAGAAATTTGAAGAAGATAAGTTGGAGTAAAGGTAATTTTGGTATGCATGACAGAGTTTACTATTAATGTGTAATGTGTCATATTTTCTAAAAAAAACCTGTTTGTTGATCAGATCACTGCTGAAAGAAGTAACTGAAAGGGGTGAGGTGTGGCTATAAATATTTTTAATTCCTTGTATGATTTCATTTGAGAGAACTGTTGTGTAGATGTTAACATTTTTGAATTTGGAAACATCAGTAAACCAGAAGTGTGTGTGTATAGGAGCAGGAACAGGCAGCTTGTAAAGTCAAAGCAACATCAGAGGGCCCTTCTAGGATAAATGGTTTAAGGGCCTCTGAAGTTGGAGTTCCTTCTTTTACTTCCCTTTATGCAGAGTGCAGTTGTAAGAAAAAGCAATTTCTCCCTTAATAGTTGTTAACTGGAAAAAGTGAGGTGAAAATGCTGCTTTAGAGCCTACGGTACTAACAGCTGGCCAGAGTTTTCTTTTTCAGAGTTCCTTTTGCAGAAACATAGACAAAACAAGTATTTTCAGCATCATTCTAGTATTATAATCATTTTTCTGAATGATTGTTGGTATATTAGAATATGAACCTTTGAGGACTACAACCCAGTCTAAATCCTCCCATATCCTCAAGGCCTAGAACAATGACCGAAATTTTGAGGCTTTTGTCATTGATCCAAGATTGGGAATTGTCAACTACCAGTATATTCCTAATTTCTCAGCTTCATAATATACCTGGGACATCATTATTCCCTCAGGCACTCGACTGACATCACAGTGGAACTGCACTGGATAATTCACTGAAGGCTTTTCCAATACAGAATGGTTGATGAACCATAGTAGATCCTCAAATATTTGTTGACTAGAAGAACTGATGAACCAATAAAATCCTATTAATAAGATTTTTTTTTTTAGGTGAATGGCATAAATGTTGTTCAGATTTACTTTGAAAGACTCAAGTATGTGAACCCAATGATGAATGGAATTGTGAAGCACAGGTGAGATCTTTCACACTTCCAAGGACACAGCTTATCTTATGCTTTTAGATACTTCTTCTCTATTCCAGTGATTATCCTCCAGGTCATTGCACTACCACTGTAACTGTACAAAATTCTAATTTGATACTTATGGCCTTTTTTGTGCTTTTATGATTATGTATCTGTATTTTTTTCCCACCAGATTATATGACCATGAGTGCAAGGAACTTGTTTCCTTAGTCTTTTTTTAATACCTAACATACAAAACATTGCTTGAAATATTGTAGATATCACTAAAGTTTGTTTAATTAATATTTTGTAATGACAGTGAAAGGTAAAACATTCATTTTCTAATCTGTCTAGCATTTATAAGGCTTTTGTATATCAGGTGTCACACAACTGTTTCAAGGCAGCTGTGAGATATTAGAAAGCAAAAATTCTTTCATATGTCATCTCAACTGTTGTATGTCTCCTGATGGCATTATATTACACCACCCATAAGATATATTTGCCAAAATTTTTCATCTAAATTTGACCATCTCTCTAGACATAATTCATAATGTATAGAAAATACAGGGGGCAGAGAAACACATTACATCACAGAGATGAGATCAACAAAATCCAGACAACAGGAAACTCTACAAGACAAAAGACCCAGTTTCTTCAGTAAATAGATTGCAAGAATTGAAAGAGATGGAAGATGAATCTATAGCTTAAAAGAGACTTAAGGGACACATTAGCCAATTGCGTGGACCTGTAAAATGAATATTTTAATGAGACAATTGAGATGACTTGAAGATGGACTGGATATTTAATATTAGTTGAGATAATAATATTCTGATTATATTGGAAACAAGAGTTCTTGTCTACATTCTCAAGTATTTATGGTTGAAATGATCTGATGTCTGGGAGTTCCTTTAAAATAATGAGACTGTATCTTAAGTGCATTGGAGTTATTAATGAAACAAGATTGGCCTTGATAATGTTGAAGCTGGGTGATGGTTAAATGATTCTTTATATATGTTCATCTCTACTTTTATATGTTTGACATTTTTCTAAATAAAAACTTAATAAAAACAGTTATTGAAGGTCTTATTAAGGATAACATACAGAAAAGGGAAGAAAATTTTCAGATTGTTTTAAAAAATATTGGCTCTTGGGAACCAGCAGTTAGCGTAATGGCTATGTCGCTGGACTCCCACGTAGTCGACTGCGGTTCGTGTCCCGGACCCAGTGGCTTAAAACTCACGCTGGGCGCGTGTGCATGCGTGCCCAAGATCCCGAGAGGAGAATGGAGGAGAAGGGATTGTGGCGTGACCATCCCCCCTGGGGAGTGATTTCTTGCTTTCTGTCTCTATGTCTCTCTCTGTCTTTCTGGCGAGCGCACACGCCCTATAGCGAAAACCTCTCCAAAAAAGAAAAAAAAAATTGGCTCTAGGAACCAACAGATAGCGTAATGGTTACATCGCTGAATTCCCACATATTCGACCATGGTTCTAGTCCTAGACACTTAAAACTCATACCGGACACGTGTGTGTGCATGCCTAAAGTCCCTAGAGGACAATGGAGGAGAAGGGATTGTGGCATGGCCATCCTCCTTGAGGGGTGGTTTCTCGCTTTCTGTCTCTCTGTTTCTCTCTGTTTCTCCGGTGAGTGCAACACAACCTATAGCAAAAATCTCTATTAAAGAAAAAAGTTGGTTCTAGAGTACCACTTCTAACCCAAGAAGTAAAATGCCCAAAAAAGAGAGCTGAGGCCTGCCTTGGTGGTACAGTGGAAATGCAACACTCTGTGATTCTGAAGCCATGTGGGAAGATCTTAGGATTGCATCTTGAGGCCTCCCTGTACACTTAGAGTATACACTTGTACCTGTGATCCCAGCTGGCTGAGGCCGGGTATAGATCACAGTCTGAAGACACTCTTGGGGATACCTGTGTCTCTCTTGCTCTCTAAAGAAGTACATTTTAAAAAGAGAGAAGGGAAACATACCTTGGAGTGGCTAGTGCTTTCCTTGGTACAGAACTATGTTAGGAGGGTCTGTCTCTTTATTTGTTTAAGAGAAATTGTTGCTATAGGGTGCATGTGCTTGCCTGAGAGATAGAGACAAGAGTGACAACAAGTAAGAAATCACCCCCCACGGGGCTTGGCCATGCCACAGTCCTTTCTCCTCCATTCTCCTCTTGGGATTTTGGGCATGCACGCACTTACACCTCGCATGAATTTTAAACTGCCCAGTCTGGGACTTGAACTTTAGTCAACTACGTGGGAGTCCAGCAACATAACCATTATGCAATTTGCTAGTCTTGGGAGGATTTTTAATTTTTAATTTTTACCCATTGAAATAGAAAAAGTTAAGTCCTTATTTATACCTACTAGAAAATGAGAATGGATTCTTACATGCTATTGAGCAGGGTGTTTATCAACACCTACAACCCATTTCATATTAATTTGGAAAATCAAAAGGATGGAAACAAGGAGCAAATTTATGAAATTGTATAAAAATCCACAAAATACCATTTTAATCTCTTTTTTAGGGGAATAGTAGGTATATATTTGTTAGTTATACATTAATTATGGTTAAAGTTTTTTTCACAGGTAGGTGTAACAGCAAGGCAAACAGCAAAAATTCCTCACTGTGTTGAACCATTTTGCATTTCACAGACTACAGATATTCCTTCAGTTCTGCACTGTACTTAGAATTGTGTAAAAGCTAAAGCCATCTAGGTCAGAGTTACTAAAGTTGTGTGTACATCAGCAGACAGGGAGTCTGTCCTGACTTTTGTGAATCCAAAAAAAGCCCCAAACAAACAAATAAAAAAAAGCAGCATTTGAGGACCCTCCCATGGAAGACAAATTCCTAAGTGAAAGACTGAGGCTGAAGCTGCCTCTTCTACTCCTGCCTTCTAAATGAAATCTAATCTTAAGAGCAAGCAGTTCCCCAGTTACAACTGATAGAGAGAAGTGAAAGATTTACCTTAGACCCCTTTTACCAGGAGGGCGGAGCATTCACTTCCAAGGTTCCCTTGTCAGAAAGCACCATGTTATTTATTTATATATATATATATACATATATATATATATGTATATATATAATATATTACATA